CCCCCCCCCCCCCCCCCCCCCCCAAACGAAAATATGAAAATCCATCTCTGCTTGAAGATTGCCGATGAAGAAAAGAAATAGTCAGGTACATGGTACAATAACGTTCTATCAATGATATTAAATGTAAATATGATACTGTATCAATGAATTATCCTTATATTTTTATGTGTAATCTTTTCATCAACAAAGAGTAATAACAACAATATATAAATATATACACACAGCTTAAACTACTTTCTCTCCTCGGCCAAATTTATTCATGCAGTTTAAATCAGGTTACCCGTAAAGGAGCAACTAGCTCTGTGGGTTAAACCGGTCATATGACAAAGATTGTAAAATAAAATAAAATAAATAAGCTAATTGGAGATAATAGGCTAACATATCTCAATGTGCTCTTTTACTCTGTCAGTGTCTATCATCAGACAATTTTACACATCAAGGGCAGTGCAGATTAAGCATTGCAGCTTAAAGAGCTAAAATCATATGGCATCAGACAAATGCTAAAAGGATAAAGTAGGAGCATTGTGGCTTAATTGAACATACATTGTGTAGTGTATGATTTCAGCATAATACAAATTACATCGAGAATTACATTGCATTTCTAGAATTATGACTGTGGAATTAATAACACTATTGCAGCACTTTTTGCTCCACCTCCTTTTGATCGATGACAATGAACTTCTAAGTTATGAATTTTCAGAAAATAGATAGATACATACACAATGTCATTCTTATGTTAACTAATTGGTACATTCCTATTTATCAGAAGAAAATTACCCACAAAATCAGCTAATCTCGTACCACACAACGATGGGCTCTGGGGACCGCATAATATAAACAAAGTGTAAAAAGCCTGAGACTTGTACTGTAAAGTCTTATTATTAAACTATAAATTCTTAAGAATAATGTCTAAATAAGTACATTTCATATTCCTATTTCTTGAAGTGGTTCTCGCAAACATACGTCCCATTTTTTTATTTGCCTTCGCAAATTATCATCCACTACGCGGTCCTTTGTAATTATGTTGCTCCACGCTTCACGAGTTTTCGTTGATATGCAGCAGTTCGCTCCCGGCATCGCGGAAACATCAATGAAATTTAATGTTTTTAGGTTCTGTTTGGTTTAAACTATTATACTATCGTATATGTCAACACCTCAAAACATGCACTACAAGTACCACGTGACCGAGAACAATAAGTTATTTTGTCACGTGACCCGGCCTTCCAAACCCTCTCATTATATTAACTATGATTACATCAAGTATTATGATCACTTATGTTAGCCTAGACTATTTATCTTTACAACAATGAGAATATGATATTACTTTCCTCGTTGTGTTTATATCCTTAGAACCCACCCTGCCAATTTTGCCCTGTGGGAGGAATCCGGAGCAAAATATAAATTAAATTGCAATCTCTAAAATTTAAGATTTTTTCTTAAATCGCCTAAAATCGCATTGGTTGAAAGTCAGTTTTTCCTTAAAGCACCTAAAATCGCCCAAATTCGCATTATCTCACGGCGATTTAAGGCGACTTACCGCCCCAGAGTAGGCCTTAATACCTACTCAAACTAGAAGTTACTATCGCAAGGAAGGTGCTGCCTCATCCCCAAGGGATCAAAGGCAGCATGCACAATTTGCTGAATAAGGGGCTGTTTATATGATCCCGCTTTGCCTGGACGAGGTATGAGGCGGGACGATTTCGATGTATTGAAATAAGTCATGGTCTACAACTGACAACATTTGAGTTCTGTTAATTCAAATTAACCAGCATTTGAACTTTCATTTAACCTTGTGATTGAAATACATCAAAATCATCACACTTTCCATCATGTAAACAGTCCCCCTAAGATGCATGCCTGTTCGGAATGCAGGAAAAGTGAATTTTGAATATCAAAACACCTTGCACAATATCAAAGGTCAGCTAAATATTAAAATTCTACTTTCTTGGCATGGCTAATTATAATAAATAATTACTTCGGCCAACTGGCATTATTGGATATATTGCAGCCAGCTTAGGCCTTCAGCCTCAGCTGGCTGCAATATATCCAATAATGCCGTTGCCCTCAGTAATTATCTAATAAATAACTTCTTGCTTTTGTATGTATTATTATAATACTGTCAATGGTGAAGCTGCCAGAGCAACAGGTCATGTTATGCAAGTTTTTAATGCCTGGTTCACACTGGTCGCAAGAATCGGAGATTGCCATTGTCTGTGGTCATGTGTAAAATGCTTTGTCTGTTGGAAAAGAATACAATAGATCGCCAATGAATTAAGACCTGTGTGAACCAGGCTTAATGTTTGCAGTAGGTTTATTAGCATAGCATGACCAGTTGCCGTGACTAGCTTGCCACTGAAAGCTGTACAATATCATATATATATATATATATATGTATATATATATGTATATATATATATATATATATATATATATATATATATATATATATATATATATATATATATATATATATATATATATATATATATAAACAATAATAATATAATAATACTTGAATGAATCGTTGGACATCTAGAATTTAATAACAACTTCATATGGCAACTTGAAGGCTATGTTCACAGAACAACTGAACAATCTACTTATGGGGAGACAAAATCTATTTGTTGACATTTCTGTTTTCTATGTCTGCTTCAGATGACACCATTCATTTGTAATAACGGACTAAGATTGTACTCGGTCATAACTGCAAAACTATATAATAAGAAAGAAATTGTGAGCATTATCGAAAAATATAATATAGATAGATCTCAGAGATATATATATTTTTATACACCGTCATATCTTGTTGACATATTATTACATGTAATGCACATATCAACGGCCTGCCCGGGGGGTACACCCCCGCGACACCCCAGGACTTTGAAAAAACATGATTCTAATACGTCAATTCCCTCTCCTTCCCCCCGGAAATGTGTAAGTCAAACTGCCCTCCCCCTGGGGCTTAGTCCTAAGAATAAAATAGTTCATAAAAAATGTATGGAAGATTTTTGAGAAAAAGCATGGCAATAATGTTGTCAACGAGTATTCTGTCAAGCACTTTCATTTAGAACTGGAAAAAGACGGTAGTTCAAAAAATAAAAAATCCTCACCTTGTTGTCCAACGACATCTTGGCGATCGATATTTTTCTCTGTGAGCGGTGAGCCTGCGATTTTCAGTTCGCACTAATGCTGTGTAATTCATTTATATAATTCAAATTGTCAGGTCAAAGTCTCCTACTTCCCCTCCCCCCGTCATCCTATTATTGGAAGTTTGTAATTTCCCCGGGGTTCACAGGCAGAACAAAAGGACAAAATACCAAATTCCCCCTCGTTTCCCCCCCTTGTCCCGAAGGTGTAACCCACTCACCCCCTGCAGGCTGTTGATATGTGCATAACTGCTGGTAAGCTAGTTAATTATGTGAAAACAACAACCCACACTGCGTTAACTGCATGAGTTGCTATAGGAATATCTTTACATTATAAAGTATACACAACTGATTCCGCGTTTGTTCTTAAAACGTGCTGAAATCACATTGCTATGTCTATGAACATCTAGAATGAACACTATAAACTCATCGTCTTGGCACATCGCCACACAATTGACACAAACAAATATTAAAACCAAAAGACAAAAGTACATTTTGGCTCCTTGTATATAAAATATAAAGAGGATCTGCCGATAAATATTTGGCCACATCATATTGATTAATTAATATTGTTTCAAACTCTCATATCGAGCACTTTTAACAGCAGATCTAAATATAAATGCCATCATGTAATATCACCAGAAAGAAATAAAGCTATCCTTACCTGAATTCATCAAAATATTGTCGATTTGTGAAAATCCAACATATGTGTAAAATGTGTCATGCGAGCGCAATACAAAAATCAAAATAAATTTTGACCGTCCCCCTCGTTTAAAAAACTTCCTGAAGCCTTAATTATTTCCCCGGAATTACGACATCTTTACATA